AAAACAAATGCGTCCTAGTTTTTATTTTCGGGATATGTATTAGCGTTTGTTGGGGTAGCGAAAATTCCCGAAAAGTCCAACAGTGTCCGATGAATTGTGAATCTTGGTGGAGTTGCCTCTCCGCCATGAATCCGTTGAGGAAATGACCCCGAACAACTGATTGGGAGATTTCTTGTAGTTGGGTTAGGAAAGATCTCTCTTACTGTTCGAGTCAGGCTTCAACAGTTCGGACTGATGCATCCTGATTTTATGTCTTCTCGACTAACATGAAAAGCATATGTCGTATTTCGGCTAGGTCGTCTTGGGAACGCCCTCTCCTCTCCGTAGCGAGATGTGGGATAGGCATTTCCGGCGCCTTGTGATGGATTTTCCGAGGTGCCTTGTTGACGTAGCCAGATGCTATGAGGTAGCATCGAAGGGGTTACCGCAGCGGCCGGGGCGGTGGATTCCATGGTTGTGCGTTGATCTGCCATGCTCGCCACTATGGAAGATGTTTCGACTGACGTCAAGGCGTTTGGGCCGGTTCCGGTTTGACCAACGATATGAAGTTCATATTGTTCCTGGCTTTGTAGATTTACAGCTGGCGAGTCATTAACTCTCGAAGTTTCGGATATGTTCTTATCTATTTTCGCTCTAACAGAGTTTAGGTTAGATTTTTGTGTTAGGCGTATCTATTTCTTCCTCTCAGCTGGCACCAAATGTGGAAGCTGAATTCTACTATAAGAATTTATATGTGAATTCAGAGAAGAAACTTTAGTTCTGAGAAAAATCTATAAATATGATATGAAGTTTGAAATATAAGGCGAAATTAGATTTATACCGATGTGGATCGAATATACAAAAAGATCTCGAGTGAGATATGCTTACAATCTAAAGTGTATTGTTATGCTTATCGTAGATGGGAAAAGTTGGCAAACTTGGCTCGGACTCCTTGTATTTATATTTTAATCCAGCTCCGCGTATCTCGAGTGCTTTTAGGTATACCCTCCGAGAATATCACAGTTGTGGTTGAGTAAAAGATTTATTTGACTTGTTCTCAGCTCCTAACTCAGCTCATATTAACTCTATGTGTTTTGAGCTGGATTCGGTAACGAATCTAAATTCCAACAAACACTGAATCTATCTCCAAAAAGACCCATTCGAAAATTTCATACCAGTTTAAATTTTCGGATCTGAATAAGATGACCAGGCCTATTCAAAACTAGAGAAAGCAAACCCTAAGTCAACTTTGTAAAACAGACGGTAGCAAACAAAAGGTTGACCAAGCTTCCACATAGTAAGATCTTATTTTTACTAGTAGAGGCGCCTTATTAGGTGCTATTAATATAGCCCCTACAGTAATGTTCGGTGCACCTTCCCGTAGACGATTATTAACGTTATTCTTTTATAAAAAAAGTTCAAATTAAGGCATTTTCTCACTTTGCCCTCCTCTCTCTTCTTCGTCCGCAACTCTTTCCCTTTCTTTTCCCCCAGAAAATCAAAATCAGATTCGATTTTCCGTTTTCTCTGAATTTCTAGGGTTTCTTTTTTCCAAC